ATACTCAATAAGTGTTTGTTAACTGAGTTCCATAAGTTTTCTACTTTATGGGAAAAAAAATTAATGATGATACTAATAACCAGAGCACTTGCCATCAATATTCCCTGTTCATTAAGTTAAGCAAAAATCTGATTCGACAAGAAAACTGGCCCACTCTTTGATTCACAAATGATGAGTGAAGGGGCTTGCATTTTGATTCCAACTTTTTCATCAGCTTCTTTGGTGAGCAGCAACCATATTTAAGAATGGAATGATAGATACGGCCATTTGGAAATCTATTATTACAGATCTTTCAAGCAGATAAAACTTGAAATCTCTGCCTAATAACAAATTTTAACCAATTCTATAACCAATCACAGATTAAACACACACACTCTAATGAGTAAGTAGAATAGTTTAATTACCTTTCCTGTGCTCTGTAAGATAGTTGTTCGTGTCCTCCATACTCTCTCTCTGCTAACAATATCTCGGGTCACATCTACCTCCGCATCCACAAAACTCCTCTGTTTAAGGGCAGTTATATCATCATCTAGATCAGTCTTGATAGTAGATCTTTTCTTAGCCATAATTTTGGCTTTGATTGCAGCAATTTTTTCCACCGACATAGCTTCAGACAAAGACCTAAAAGCAATTTCTTTTTTTAATTTTTACAGCAGGGATTCCTGAAGCACATCAGAAATATATTTTGTTACATTTATAAGTTACTGATAGAAACACTTTAATGCCAATAATTAAGGTTTTCTTATCTGTCAAATTGACTTGATATTTTGTAACAAGATTTTTATAAAGAAATCATGTAAAGATATTACTCTATGAGCAAATCCGTAATTTCTTAGAAGGGTCAATGCAATAAAATTCTTCACTTTTTTTCATCTCTTCTCCCCAAAAAAGAACTTATGGATGCTTTTCTTTATATTTTCTGAAACTTTATTAGCTAATCCATCTCTATGTATGCAAATTACACACACACACACACACACACACACACACACACACACACACACACACAGAGGCCTCCTTGGAAAGAGGCTGAAAAACGCATTCTGTAGAAAGTTCAAAGCTTAAGTTTTCTCTGACATTTATTTCAAGGTGTCAAACCTGTATGTCATAGTGTACAACGTATTTTATAGGTGACAGAGGCTTTTACATGCCACAAAAACACTATTCCTTTTAATCTCTGGAAGATGAAATCATATTTTGAACAGTTTTCTTTTTCTTCCCTTCACTTGATTTTCAAATAGGCGAAACAGCAAAGAGAAGCTATGCTTACAGAACTATAAAAAAAGATGTAACACTGAAAGCACAGATTTCATGAGATGATAATCTCAAGCAAAGTATCTTTTTTTATCATGTAATATCAGAAAAAGAATTAAAAAGTGTTTGGGTACCTTAATAACAGTAGACAAAAATATTACTTTAGTCACAAGATGAAAATCTTGAAATATGTTACACAAAAGCTGGAAAAAGGACGAAAATTCCTGCAGGTTTAAATACAGTAGTATTATATAGTATTCTATTTTTATTTAGATTAGGTATGAAGGTACTTTATAGCAGATGCTCAATATGCAGCCAGTATTTGACTCACTCTGTATAATACTGTGTAACTTTCTCTTAAAATCTAAAGCATACCAGCATACTTTAAGCCAAATCCAAATACAGTAGTCCCTCAGTTTGGCTTTCCGCAGTTTCAGTTACCTACTGTCAAACATAGTCCAAAAATATTAAACAGAAAATCCCAGAAATGAACAATTCTTTAACTTTTAAATTGTGTGCCATCCTGCCTGGGACATGAATGGTCTCTTTATCAAACATATTCACACTGTACACACTACCTGTCCCATTAGTCACTTGGTAGCCATCCTGATTATCAGAGAGACCGTTGCTGTATAGCAGTGCTTATGTTCAAGCAACTCGTATTTAATAGTGGCCCCAAAGCACAAGAATGGTGATGCTGGCAATTCAGATATGCCACTGCCAAAGAGAAACCATGAAGTGCTTCCTTTAAGTGAAAAGGTGTCCCTGCCATTCCTTGACAAGGGTTAGGTACTATCCACGGTTTCAGGTATCCGCTGGGGGTCTTGGAGCAGATCCCCTGAGGATAAATAAAGGGGGACTGTGGTACTTTTCTAAACTATAATCAAGCCTGCACTGAACTTTCAATCATAGGACTTTTACTTCCAGCCAAGATGAAGTAACAGAAACTGGATTAATCCATGACCAGTCAAAATACATGAAACAATGGTTTACTAGACACTAGATATCAAGCACTGAAGGCCAATGATTCTCTGACAAATGAGAAACAAACAAGGTGAGTCCTATGACTACCTCAGCTTACTGCCTTGAAAGTTTCCAAGACCTGACATAAGGAGGAAAATCCAGGTGGAATTAGTAGACTCCCTGATTTGAGGAAATGGAGCTGAGATTACAGCAAGACCAAGGTGGTTGGAATTCATACGCCAGGGTACCTGAGGAGAGCTGCACACAAGACCCCCCTCAAGTATTCCAGCAGAATACTGATTAGCACATAAGTATGAGGAAACTATCTAAGACTGGGTAAAGAACCACCCAAGACAACTAGAGGGAATAATGCCCAGTGTTCACACCAAGTGAAGAATGTCCTGCTCCCACCAGCCAGAATGAAATCTCATATTTATGGGGCATTAGACAGAGTACTCAGAATGGTCTTGCCTCAGTGGGGTGGGGAATAATGAGCCAAACTGACCATTGTTCAAATAAGAAATCTTAAAATCAACACCTAAAAGTAACAAACTGTTTCCAAGTGATGCAACTATGTCCCAAAACAAGGCTAAAACAAAATGTGGAAGAAAAAAAAAAGGGTAGAAATACAAAAATATCTGGCACTCAACAAGGTAAAACACAAGATGTCTGGTACGCAATCACAGATCACAAACCATGCAAGTAGCAGGAAAATATGGGCCAGAACGAGAAGAAACATCAAAGACATTAAATACTGCAAAGACATTAAAATAAT